ATGGTAGGTGCTTCACCTACATTGGAGCCAGGATAGCCTGTGTGTGTCAAGTGAAAACAGAACAAAAGACTTTCCCTTCATATTCTCCATTGATCACACACACACACACACACACACACACACACACACACACGGTGAGGGTCTGGGGCTATCGCAAGGGGAATCCCAGAGATAGACTAGACTATGCTCACCTACAATGGTCTGCCTGCCTCACCTCTGGTCTCCTTGAGAAAAAAATAGTCTTCAGGACCCAGGGCTGACTCAGTGCCTCCATAGTCTTGAAAGGCCCCTACTCAGGGCTTTCCTGAGACCTGAGCATCCACACATTGAGAAATTCATGCTGTCTCCATACAAGTGAGCCAACTGGGGCTGTATCTGGACTGTTGGTGCCTAGCTACAAGGGTTCCAAGTTCTGTATGTTCCATGGCCAAAGAAGTGAGGTCACAACCTTGGGGACTCCTTACCTGAGTCCCTTTCTCACACATGATGGTTCCAAAGTCCCCTGGGAGTCTCACTGCTCCCATCATCCCATGACATATGCACTAGTGTACAAAGTTACACCAACACACCCTGGATCAGATCCCGAGACAGGCCTGCATATAGCCATCTCCCCTGGTCTGGGGAGACAGAGCTTGCATTGGATATGGAAAATAAAAAACCCCCAAGACAGTGTGGCCTGGGAAAGGGAATGAAAAAGAAAGCCATACATTGATAGCTTTCATCTCTTCCAAGATAAATCCTTTTCAGATGCTAGCCACATGCAGGGAGAAAGTGTTTCATCAAACTTAGAATGATAGTCTCTAGGAAACACTTATAACTTCAAAGATAAATCCTCTCCAGGTGCTGGCCATGACTCCCAACCCTAAGATCCAAATTCTGGAGTGCCCAGACTGACATGTTCATTAAATCACCCACAATCTACATAAGCCCAGCCCCCTGCTTTGTCCAGTGACTCATTTTTCACCAGGAAAGTGGATCCATTTCCATAGGTGTAGTCTTATTTCTAAATAAAAGGCTGAAATGATCCATAAAGTTTGTGTCTGATCTTTCTGTGCTAACAGTTTGGTTCCCTGACTGGGTTTGGGAGTAAGATGAAATTAATCCTTCCCCATCCCTCCAAACCCTTCCCTTTCCTCTACAGTTAAGTTAAATGACTAATGGGACCTGGAAAGTGACTATTGAAGTGCCCAGCACCCCCCCCTGCCCCGGATCTCTGAGGTTGGGGGAATACCCAGTCATGACTCATGATGCAACTATACCTGAATCCCCAGATTGACTGTTTCCCTCACTTCTTTCCCCAAAGAGACCCCTCACACCCTCGGAGTCAACTTTGGCTGAATGGCTGACGGTTTGCAACCTGTAACCAACCCCAACTCTGGGCTAGGTTTTCACAGCCTATGCTACGTGGACTTGTATGGAATCCTTTATTGATGCTGAAGGCACCATCTTTCTGACCCCCTTCCCACACCATTCCTCCCCTTCCCAATCTTCCTTTCCTTTACACATCCAGCAAACTTCATGGATCAGGGACTTACTTGCCATTTTACTCCTGCATTCACCACTGCCCTTCTCATTTCTTTGGAGAGGTAAGACTCCATCCATTCGTTTCATCTCTACTGGGTAGAGACTTTGCAGGCTAAATGGCACCCTGTCCTTTACCACTGGGACTGGCCTATCAGTGGCATAAAAAGTATAAAGGACACTTCTCCCTCTGTTGCCACCTTCTTCATTAAGCCTCTCCAAAGATGGGAACCACTCAGTCAATTCCCAGAGACACCCCCTTGGGCTGTCTCTCTCCTAATTTTAAAACACTCTATTCCCAAACTGACCTCAAAATTAAATGCCTCATTTGGCTCACTACTAAAAATTTGGCCACAATACAAATTAGATAATCTGCACCAATGACCCAAGTAAGAAACTTTTGATCAAAAAATTCTCAAGTTTCAAAAAATTATTACAGAATGGCAGGGTTGTCTGAGGTTCCTACTTCCAAGCTTTCTTTTTCCTTCACTCAGTCACCAAATATACCAAGCCCTATTTCCACTATGGGCAGCAGGGACACTGGAAGGCAGACTGTCCCCAGGAAAAAACACCCCTCCACTTGGTGCAGCCAGCTTCCCAAGTCCCTGAATGCATCCCAGGATCCCCAGGTTGTAGGAATAATAAATGACTAAGCAAAAAAGCAAATATTCCTCTTCTGAAGAGATTTTAAGGGCACAGCTAGCTGCTAAATGTCCTACTTTAACCCTGACCAGCCCAGCAGCTAGTAATATGTCTCAATAAGGAGTGGGACATAACAGCCTCATTCTTCAAAATAAATTTCTGTATCCAAAACTGGTCTGATTACCACCAACCAGGCAAAACAGGGTGAAAAAGCCTTAGGCAGCAATTTCCTTGGCCAAAACTACACTGAAGCTTGCATTGGAAGGCAAATGGCAAGCTTGGCAGGCTTTGGTAGGAGGCCTGTGATTAAAGGGAAAAAAAATGTATCAATTTAACTTCTTCCTGACAGCAACATGACTTCAGGACACCCCCCCTCTCTCTCCCTCTCACTCCCCCTACCTTCTTGTTCTTTCTTGTTACTTTAATGAAATATTTAATGGCCAAATCATTTTTTCTAGGACTCCCATTTTTTAAATTATTTTTTGAGCTCATAATTTTGATTCTGTGCACCTAAATTAAAATTTCTGATCAGACCTTTTATCCAAGTATAAAGGTATTTTTATACTCTTCTTTATTCAGAGACCAATTTACAAGGATTGACTCTTAATCTAATCAGTTTTAAAAAGCTATAAGGCCTTTGCTTTTTTGTTCTGTGTATTATCTTGTCTTCATGTATTTGTGTATCAAAACCAACATATAGAGCACTCATAAACTAAAATAAAAAAAAAAATAGATCCAAATACCTTTGATTCACATGATTCAAAAGTTCAATTTACATTAGATTAAAAAATGAGGGTAATGATGTCTTTAAAATCACTGACCCATATGATTTTTTCCAGATGATCAGACAATGAAGGGTATGGTTTTCTATAAATTGTTTAAAGTGTAATTAATGTCCATTGCTTCTAGGATTTTCCTTCCACAGAAAAGGATGACTTAAAATGTTAACCAAACTTGGTTTTCATGGGTAACCTAAGTTAAAAATGATGGGATAAACATTATAAATGTGGTTTTTTAAATTGTTTCTTAATGGAAAGTTTAAGATTACTTTGTTTCTGGTCCTCACTAAAAGCAAGATGATCAAGGGTTAAAATTCTACTTTCATGTATGTTCTACATACAAGAAAAAGAGAAAAAAACCCAGAGGATGGTAAAATACTGTTGTTTTATTTGAACCCAAGAATCCTTCAGTATTCTGACTCAGACTTTAGGCCCCTCAAGGCCAACACTCCTGGACTTGTGACTCTGGGAATCATGCCAGTAATGAGGGAAAGAAGCGTCTGAGCCAGCTGTAGTGGCTCCCACTCCTCCACCTGCCCTGTGTCCTCCACTATCCAATCTAAGGGAAAGTTTGTATGTATAAGTTTTTCTGTTTTAAAGGCTCTCACCTGTCAGCCCTGGTTTTGGTGATCCTTCCTTGTTTATCTGTTACTTGAATCTGTTACTGGCCTTTTATGATGTGGGCCACATTAGATTACTGGTGGTCGCTTAAGAATCTTTGCTGAATCGTCCACCTATAGATATGAGCCTGTTAGAAAGATGTTTCACTGTCACTATCTGGCCTTTAAATGGTTTCATGGATAATTATACAATCTTACAGTCAAAGTTGGTCTGTCAGGGATAAAATATATGAAAGAGATTCTGTATGTACATTGATTCAGTTATATTGTAAGAAGACTGAACAGTCAAGTACTAAGTTGAAGACATCAAAAGGCACTGCCCTCTGGTATGCAAGGAGAGGACGACACCAGGGGGAAAAAAGGGTCTGAAACTAAAAAACGATAAAAGAAAGAGGTATGAAATATTCTTGTGCTAAATTCTGAGAGAACAAAATAAGAAAGTAAACAAGTTGTGAACGTCTAAAATTGCAGAGGTTTGCAGAAGATAAATCTCAAAAGGTTTGTGTTTGTGATTAAATTGGCTTTGATTAGCACAGGCAGTTATTTGAACTTTAATGAGCTGATATGAAGTAAAGTCTAAAACATTGGTTTGCTCTTATCTATCAAGATAACTTTCCAGTATTTGTATGTGTTAGATTTTGTTACTTGGGAAACTGAGTCTTAAAGGAATTAGGGTTTGTACCTGTCTTAAAGCCTTAAATGGTTACTTTGTAACTGGTCAAGCAAACAGCTGTGATTTAGGTTATAACGATATAATCAACACCCAAAATATATGTGACTAGATATATGTATGCATCTGAGAACTATATCTGTCTAAACCTTGTCTAAGTGTTATGCCAAAATTTATAAAATGAAAGTTTATGTAAGTTTACTGGGAAGATAACCAATAAGTTCTCTCTTTTGTACATGGCCATAAAAGGGCCACGCTGTCATTTGAAGATCTCACTTACATCTGTTTATTTTGACTAAGTTAATTTCTGATCATTAACACTGTTTCCTAAATCTATAAGAGACTTAAGGCTGTCCTTTGATGTTTTTTTAAGTCCATGCAGACCTATGATTACTGTTACTGTACATTCTGGATTCCAAATTGCATTTTAAAAGTTAAAGTTAGTTAAATGTAAAACTTAGGAGAGCACTTAGCCATGTTAATGTTCTCAAAACTAAAATTATGTGTAGGAAAAGTCTCAGATTTGTATAGAAATAACAAATTGGGTTGATACTTACTCGAATCATTTAATGTTTTATAGCTGGACAAAGTAACCTGTT